GTCTGCTCCCGAGGACCCTCGCCTTTCTGACTCTCTATTTTTCTATTTTTTTAAAACTCATCTTTATTGTTGAATGTATTACAGATGTTTCTCCCTTTTTTCCTCATTGATCTCCCCTCCCCATTCCCGCCGCCTCCTGCCTTTCCCACACTATTGTCAGTGTCCATTAGTTATGCATACATGCATAGAAGTTCTTTGGTTTATCTCATCCCACCCTCCCTTCTCCCTTTCCTTTGAGGTTCATCAGTCTAACAAGCAATTTGCATTTCTTAATTCCTTCATCTTTTTCACCCATCTCCCCAGCCCCCACCCATCTGGCAAGCAACAAAAATGTCTCTGTATCTATGAGTCTGTTTCTGTTCTACTTGCTCATTTTGTTTGTAGATTCAATTGTTGATAGATATGTATTAATTGCCATTTTATTGTTCATATTTTTGTTCTTCACCTTCAAGAAGACCCTTTAACATTTTATATAGTACTGGTTTGGTGGTGATGAATTTCTTTAACTTTTTCTTCTCTAGGAAACTCTTGATATGTCCATGGATTCTAAATGATAGCTTTGCAGGATAGAGTAATCTTGGTTGTAGGTCATTGCTTTTCATCACCTTTAATATCTCTTGCCACTTCTTTCTGGCCTGCAAAGTTTCTTTTGAGAAATCAGCTGACAGTCTTATGGGAGCTCCTTTGTAGGTAACAGACTGCTTTTCTCTCGCTGCTTTTAAGATTCTCTCTTTGTATTTAACCTTTGCCATTTTGATGATAATGAGTCTAGGTGTGGAACTCTTTGGGTTCACCTTGTTTGGGACTCTCTGTGCTTCCTGGACTTGTATGTGTGTTTCCTTCACCAAGTTAGGGAAGTTTTTGTCATTATTGTTTCAAATAGTTTTTCAATTTCTTGCTCTCTTTCTTCTCCTTCAGGCACCCCCATGATGTGAATGTTGGCATGCTTGAGGTTGTCCCAGAGGCTCCTTACACTATCCTTAGTGTTTTGGATTCTTTTTTCTTTTTGCTGTTCTGGTTGTGTGTTTTCTGCTTCCTTATATTCCAAATTGATGGTTTGCTTCTTGGCTTTACCTACTCTACTATTGATTCCCTGTAAATTATTCTTTATTTCAGTTAGTGCATCTTTAATTTTTGACTGGCCGTTTTTTATGTGGTTTATGTTCTCACTAAGTTCCTCGGAGGTCTCACTAAGTTCCTTGAAGGTCTCACTAAGTCCCTTGGATGTCTCACCAAGTTCCCTGAGCAACCTTATAAACTGTGTTTTGAACTCTGCATCTGTTAGATTGCTTATCTCCATTTTGTTTAGTTCTTTTCCTGGATTTTTGTTTTTTTCTTTTATTTGGGATATGTTTCTTTGTCTCCTCATTTTGACACTCCCCTGTGATTGTTTCTATATATTAGGCAGAGTTGCTATACTTCCTAGGCTTTGTAGGGTGGCCTTGTTGTTGTAGGTGTCCTGAAAGATCCAGTGACACAGTCTCCCTGATAACCCCAGCTTGGCCCTCGCGGTGCACCCCTAGTGTGGACTGTACATCCTTCTGTTGTATTTGAGTCTTGATTGGTGTTGTCACTTCAATCGGAGGGATTTACTCAGGCTGATCACTGCAAGGACTGGCTATGCCCACTAGCCACAGGCCTCGGACTACCTTGGAGGAACAGCTGTGTACGGGCCCACTACACTCAGCAAGACTTACTTCAGCAGAGCTCTGGTACGCACTGAGTCCACTCATTAAGTGTGTCACTTGTGGAGGTTGTTGGGTGGTGGTGTTTCGATGTGGTCTGAAGCTGTTCACCAGGTGTGCTGGCTCTGGAGCAAAGTCAGCCACCGCCTATACTCTATCGAGGGACAGCCAGCATAAGCTACAAAGTGAACTGCAGATGGCTGCTTCTTGTGCTGGGCTTGGAGGTGCCCAGGAAAAGCCAAGCTGTGAACCAAGGCTGGCCACTTCTAGTGCCAGCCCTGGGGCCACTTAATGAGAGGTATGGGGCTCGCTGAGACCAGATGCTGCTTGTTTGAGAGATTTTTGGAAACTCTAAAGCAGGATCAAAGACAGACCAATCCTATGGTAAAGCCTTTGGAAACAGCTTGGGTGGACCAGAAAGTTGGGTGGGGCAGGGCCTCAGGGAATCACCAGGGTGGGCCAACAGTGTAAGCCTGGTTGCTTGAGTCCCAGATATGGCAGCTGTCTGCTTGCCCTGTGGGGGAAGGGCTCACCAAAGGAATAACGACCTCCACCAGCATCTCTGTCCAGGAGAAAGCTGCTCCTCCAAGCCCTCGTCCTGGGGCCAAACAGCTCAGTTCTTCCCTGTTCTCTGGTGCCCCTCAAACTGCCTCCTCTCGGAGCTTAGGGGGAGCAGGTCTGAGTAAGTCTGTATATGGGCCCTTTAAGAGAAACTGTTGGGGCTCCCGCAGCCTCAGCCTCTCTCTGCCATGGTTCCCGCTTTTTCCAGCCAGAAGTTATGGGGACTTTTCTTCCTGGCACTGGGACCCTGAGCTGGGCACCTGGTATGGGATGGGGACCCCTCACTCCTCATGAAGGACCTTCCCAGCCGAGGTCTCTCCTGATTTTTATCTGCCACATGTGGGTATGGGACTAGCCCGTCCGCCTCTGCCCTCCTACCAGTCTGGAGGTGGCAACTTCTTTAATTTTGTAGTTGTAGGACTTCCATTCAGCTCGATTTCAGGTGGTTCTGAATGATAGTTGTGTTGTAATTTTGATGTGGTTGTGGGAGGAGGCAATATGTTGTTTACCTATGCCACCATCTTGACCATTTTCCTTTAAACTTTTTTTCCTCTTATTTCTTAATTAAATTTATTGGTGTGACATTGGTTAATAAAATTATACAGGTTTCAGGTATACAGTTCTACAGTACATTATCTGTATATTGTATTGTGTGTTCACTACCCCAAGTCAAGTCTCCTTTTATCACTATTTATGCCCCCTTTACCTTCTTCTATCTCCTCTGACCCTCCTACCCCCTGGCAATCACCATACTGTTTTTTGTGTCCTTGAGCATTTATTGTTTTCTTTGCTTAATCCCTTATTACTCAGCCCCCAACTCCCTCTCTTCTGACAGCTGTTAGTCTGTTTTCTGTATCCATGAATCTGTCTCCACTTTGTCAGTTTATTTTGCTCATTAGATTCCACATATAAGTGAAATAATATGGCACTTGTCTTTCTCTAGCTCACTTATTTTACTTAGCAAAATATTCTCCAAATGTACCAAAGCTTTTAATCTACTCATCTTCTGATGGGCACTTTGGTTACTTCCAAATCTTGACTATTATAAATAACAGCTGCAATGAATACAGGGGTGCATATGTTCTTTTAAATTAGTGTTTTGGGCTTCTCCAATATATTCCCAGAAGTGGAATTGTTGGTTTATAAGGGAGTTCCATTTTAAATTTTTTGAAGTAAGTCCACACACCTTTCCACAGTGGCCGTACCAATTTGCATTCTGACTAAAGTGCACAAGAGTTCCCTTTGCTCCACATCCTTGCCAACACATGCTGTTTGCTAATTTATGGATGAAAGCCATTCTGACAAGTCTAAGTTGATATCTCATTGTGGTTTCAATTTTCATTTCTCTGATGATTGATTAGTCACACTGAGCATCCTTTCATGTGTCTATTGGTTATCTGTATGTCCTCTTTGAAGAAGTGTCTATTTAGGTCCTTTACCCATCTCTTAATTGGATTATTTGTTTTTTGTTTTTTTTTTTTGGTGTTGAGTTTTATAAGTTCCTTGTGTATTTTGGATATTAAACCAGAGAGAAACTTTAAAGAAATATGCAAAAACAGGGGAGAGAGGTTTGCTGAAGCAATGTTCATGGGTAGACTATAGAGGATGGGTTTTGGTACACAAGAGAACTGCTGGCCTTTTCTAGAAACATCAACCTGAACATAAGAGAAGATAAAATATTTTTGGCAAAGTGTAGGTAGGTGAGTCATGGGAACCTATAGAAATTTTCTTCTGATTAATTGTCTTTTCTCAATGGATTAGAAAACAAGTTTATTAGCCAAGAATGAGTTTGAAAAGAGAAGATATGAAATGGTTTAGGAAGATATGACTAAACCAGGGAAATATTTAATTGCTGGAAAGCATGCTAATCCACTTCTGGCAACTTAAGACAAGTGAGACAAGACAGTATGGCCTTCCTTTTTCCTTTAGTCACATTCAGTGGCTCAGGGCAGACAAGTTTAGATGGGAGTTTTACTAGGACTGTGGTTTAGGCAGACAAGTAAGAAAAAGGGGAAGGGCAAACATATTGAAGGTCTATGGATGGGAGTGATGATAATGATTAACCATGGGATTTCATCTAGTTAAGTAGGTAAGTGAGGTCAGAGTGGAATGGCCAAGGTCAGTGAAAGGTGGCAGAATTAATGAAGTGACTTTAGATGGAATGAGTTGGAAGAATTTTGGGTGTTTTGAGATGAAACTAAGCTGGAATATGAGAGATAGTTTTCAAAAGTATATTTGAAATTGAAATTATGGATGGATCTCAGTGATTGTTAGAGACCGGTTTTATCATGGCAATGAAGCTGGCGAGAGGCTGGAAGACAAGATCACAGGAGGAGATCCATCCCAATGACAAGGAAGGTAAATCTGTTCGCAGGAGTTGAAGCCATTATGTCTATCCTTGACAGAGAAGGGGCTATTCATAAGAAAGTTGTTGGGTTTACACCCAAAAGCTGGTCCAATAAGTAGACTGACTGTAGCAGTCAGTTTAAGATTTTAAGTTAGATTCTGGGTCTGGGCGCCCCTGAGACTGGGTGCCAAAGCCAGCTTCTCCAGGACACGAGCATTGTGAGGCACTTGGCCCAGCACTTTTCTTGTCACAGACCCACTTCCGGTCTCCGGCCGCTCGGTCTCCCGGACTGCGGCGCAAACCTGGTTGGAGGGGCCCGCAAGCCTGGGGGTTGGCAGAGGGGCATACTGGGCGGTTAGGAGCCTCAGGGACGTCTTGGCTTGACTGAAGGACTGTCTCCTGTCATCATGAAGAAGTTTTTCACCTTCTGGAGAGGGAATGGTGAGCCCCACAGCTTCTTGTCATGCCAGACCAAAGGGCGGGCCAGTACTGGTGCCCCCGCAACGCCTGGCTACAACCTTCGAAATAAGGATTTGAAGAAACTTCATAAAGCTGCAGTAGCCGGGGATTTGGAAAAGATGAAGTACTTGCTGCTCAGGAAACATGATGTGAACATTAGGGACAGAGAATACAGGTGACCAGTGTGATGAAAGGCAGCGTGGATGGGAAGCTGGGACTTTTGGGACCACAGGGTCCCCTAACCAGGAATAGGACTTCTCTGGGTTACCCAAGTGGTTGTCACTCGGGGAATACCTTAGTGGAGAGGTCTGGTAGCCATCATATTTTTAAAAATGCCTTTGTGTCCTCTTTAATCCTCTCCACTGCTCCCATTGCTTTCAATCTCCTCTGGTTACTCCACCGTTTCCCAATCCTTTCTTTTTTTCTCTTTCCTATGGAGCATATTGTCCCCAGCCACCTAAGATTTGCCATATTACTAATGTAGTGACAGGAAAAGAGTAGAAATGACTTCCCAGAACAGTGGTTATTAAGACTGAGACTTTGAAACAGCAAAACAATGAACTCTTTCATGTGAATCATCTATGATTTTTTAAAATTGCAGAGTATCTTCAAAAATCCCATAAACTCCACTTACTGCAAAACCAAATTAATTTTATATATTAAGAAACAAAGATGTTATGTGCTTAGCATTAATAACAGAAAATATGTACTATCTGTGCACACCTTAACATCTTTTGTGGAGTTTTTAAGTTATAGAGCATGAAGGATGTCATCTTTCATCATAATTAACTGGAAACCATGGTTATAAAGATGATTTGTGTCATCTTGCTGAAGAGTTTTACCTCCTTTTTAACCAGAACAGAGTTATCTATATCTCTCCATTGAATTACTTCAATGAATTATTTTATTGAGGTCATTGATAACCTCAGTATGAACTCATTCAGTGGTCCATTTTCAGTCTTACCTGGCTGGCATCTTAGACAAGTACCTTACTTGCCCTATCAGTAGTATTTGAAATATTGTTTTGTCTTTCAGGACATTTGGTTTACCTAGCATTTCTCCTACTTCTGTGAATATTTTCTAGACTCCTTTGCTGATTTCTCCTCATCTTCCTGACTGGTAAAAATTTAAGGACTCAGACCTTGAAGTAATATTCTCATTCATACATATTTATTCTCTCTCTCTCTCCACATGCTTGGCGAAGATAGATTAGCTTTAAATATTTATATTCCAATCCTTTAAGCTTTTTATCTCCAGCTACATCTCTCCCCTGAACTCTAGATCCATATATATATATATATATATATATATATATATATATATACACACACACACTTCCATTTGGATATCTAATAGGCTGTGGTATGTTCCTAAATGTTCGATAATAGGCACTTGAAAGAATTGGGGAGGGTGGAGGGAGGAGAAGCCCTGATTTTAAGCTACCAATGTGATGTCAATAGGCTCTAATGATTTCTGAAAATTTAACAGTTGGCTTGTATGAGCCACTGCCTCCATCACATCGCTGAGCAGGCATCTCAAATATTCTCAAATTGCACTCCTGCTTTTCCTCCTCAGATCTGGTCTTCTCTTTCTACAAATGCCAGGTTCTTTTTTCAGTTGTTTAGGCCAGAAACCCCAGAGTAATTCTTTTTTTTTTAATCCTCACCGATAATATTTTTGCATTTATCTTCAGACAGAGCGGGAGGGAGAAAGAGAGAGAGAAAAACATTGATGTGAGGGAGGCACATTGACTGGTTGCCACCCACATGAACCGGGGCTGGGGACAAACTGCAACCAAGGTATGTGTCCTTACTGGAAACCGAACCCCTGCTTCTCTGGTCTGCGGGCTGATGCTCTAACAGCTGAGCCAAACCAGCCAGGGCCCCAGAATCATTCTTGACTCCTCTCATTATTTCACATTCTCCATCTGATTCAACAGCAAATCTTGCTGGCTCCAACTTCAAAATATAACAAAAATACAACCATTTATTGCTACTTCACAGTTACCACCCTAATAAAAGCCACCATCATGTCTTAACCAGAATTACTACAGTGGTCTCCTAACTAGTTTTCTGTCTTTTAACCTTTGCAGTTTATTCTCAATACAGTAGGTGGAATGATTGTATACAATATATGTCAAATGATGTCATTGTTTGCTTTAAGAACTTGCACTGACTTTTGATCTCACCCTCACCTGTTATTTTTCTGATCTTACCTACTACAACTCTGCCTTTCATTCATCTACAGCTACCCTGGCTTTGTTAGTGTTCTATAGAAATGCCAGAAATGCACCTAGGCCTTTGGACTTACTGTCCACTTTGCAAGGAGTGCTTTCCCCTCAGATATTCACATGGCTTTCTCTCTCACTTTCTTCAGGTTTTTATTTGTCACCTTATCAATGAGCGTTCTCTCTCTTTACTGACATTTCCTACCTTTCTTCCCTGCCTTATTTTTCTTTACAGCACTTAATTCTGTTTGGTGTACTTTGTATTTTAAGTTTTGTGTTTACCTCTTCTGCTACCTTGTATGTCCATAAGAGCAGGTATTTTGTTTATTTTGTTTCCTGATGTATCCTCATCATATAGAACTTTACCTTGCTGTAGTAAGAGCTTAATAATTTTTGATGAATGAATGCATACATCCATGCATAGATGCATATACTAATTTAAAGATACTATTCAGAAATAAAAGGATATCTCTTATTAATAAAAATGAATTCCTTATACATTCAACAATGTGGATGAATATCAAAGTGTCATGCTAAGGGAAAGAGGACAGACACAAAATAGTATACATTGAATAACTACATTTGTATAAATTCTTAAAAGGATAAAAGTTTAGCCAAAGAAAGAATATTAGTAGTTAGCTGGGGTTTCAGATGAGGAGGGGAGAAGAAGATTGGTTGTAAAAGAGTATGAGGGGACTTTTAGAATGATGGAAATTTTTTTATTATGTCTATGCTGGTGCTTATATGATTGTATATTGGTCAAAATTCATAAAATTTTATATATAAATTATACTATACCTCAATTAAGATAATAGCAGATCTCAAGCTGTATATTCTATTTGAATATTTGTGTGTGGAGAAAGAGAGATTGAGAATGAGAGAGATAAAATCTGAAAGAATACATACTTAAACTAAAATCACTATTTCTTAAGAAAAGATGAGATTTGGAGAGGGGGAATAGATGGGAATAGATAAAATGAGAATGGTCCCGGGGGACTTCTGTTTTGTCTTGCTTATTTCAAGAATACTGTGTCTAACAAGTTTAAAAATGTATAGGAGATATTTCATGTTTCTTATAGCTGTAAAATTTAATTACTTTATGGTTTTCAATAAAATGTCCATCAGATCATATGTAGTCTGACAGGTGAAAGTTCAATTTTAAATTAATGCTTTTAAGCCACACCATTCAGACCTAGATTAGATCTAAAATGCCCAGCCTAGAGTTGAAAATAATAATGATCTAGTATGAAATAGCCTCCTTGGTTACCTCTTCACTTACCCTGGATTTGGAGTTTTCATGAGGGTATTCTCATGATAAGACCTAGTTGAAGACTGCAACCATGTTCTGGTCCTGCACTCTGTATGAAATACAACATTTCATTTCCGCTTCCATAGTATGATCCCCACTTGACATCATCTAATCCATGCCTTTTATTACACTTGAATTAGAGATTTCTAGAATCTGACACAATTCTTCACCTGTCCACAATCTATACTGACAATTCTTTCACTGATATTTGAGAGAGTGAGAAACTTGGAGAAAACCAGACTTGAGTGAGACAAAATGATACTAGCTATCCTGAAACTTCAGAAATGAGCACTACACCTCATAGGAATTTAGATTTCTTGTAAGATAATACTATGAATTAAAAAGTCACAATATAAACTCAAGTCTTAGACTGGAAATCCAATACATTGATAAAAGAAAAGTTAGGAATTTTTGAGACATGCAATAATATTCTTGGTTTTAGAATGTTTCTCTAAGATATTTATAAATATATATTTTGTATTCTGTTTTAAAAATAGAAAGGTTTTTTTTTGGTGTGAAATTTGCTGAAAAACATGTGTAAACATTGGTAAATGACCATAACAAAAATATCATTTACTGCATACTCCAAATATTATTTCTGGAATTGAAAACAGTTAAATCTAAGACTTAAAATGAAATGTAAGCAAATGTTAAATCTGTATGCTCTTAAGACATTTTGTCATTTTAAACCCTGGCGGCTCATTTAATAAGATGCCAAATATTCCAAGAAAGAATCATTATAATACTATCTTGAAAGCTTGAGTAATATTGTAAATTATTTAATGTTTCATGCCTGATCAAGATAAATTAGTCTTGTTTTTACATTTTTTTGAGAAAGACCACAGAACTATATTGTTTGATACTTCCTTAACAAGCTAAAGCTTTTATAGTCGTTTCATTGTACTGAATTTGAGGCTGATTTCCTGTGTTCCTTGGGGCATACGGTTGGGTTCTGAGATTTTTAGAAAAGGTATCATTGTCACAGTGTGGTTTAGACTTCAATTAGAAGAGTGAAATTTATCCAGCAGGCATGCAGTAGCCACTTTGGGAAGACCTACTGGGACCTGCCCAAATTGCATCTACTTTTCTTGGAGCAGGGTTTTTTGTTTGTTTGTTTTTTGTTTTAGGGGGTGTTCTTCTTTTTTTTTTTTTTAATTAATAAGAAAAGAGAACTAGAGTTGGAAGGAGAGGTGGCTCTAAAGATTGAGTAAAAGCCACCTAAGTTCTTTGGGACTAAATTCTTGGGATATGTATAATAGTGGACGAAGGAGATAATCCGAATGTTTGCTAGGGTTTTCTAAGCTACTGCAAAGCCATTGGCCCTTTGGGTTGTGTGTTTGGGGCGAGGGCTGGATACACTTCCTATTACACAAGTAATAATTCAGTAAAAATCAATTATGATTAATGTAAATTTTGTTTAAATATAAATCAGTACATGAAGTAAATATCTTAATATATGATCCAGCATGTTCTTGAGTAGAGTAAGTATCTTCTCAAACTAAGATTTATTTCTAACTTTGTGTCATTTTATATTGCTATAGAACACCTTTGCACCTGGCCTGTGCTTATGGATATTCAAATATTGTATCTCTCTTAATTGAGAAACAATGCAAAATAAACCTCAGGGATCGTGAAAACAAATCTCCATTGACTAAGGTGTGTTAATTTTTCCTTTTCAATTGGAATGTTCTTTTCCTAGTTAACTTTTGTTGAATTTCATATTTTAAAATAAAATATTAAATATTCATTTAATATATTCTGAGTAGCAAATTGATTACTCATCTATTCTTATTGTATTGACAGGCAGTGCAGTGTAACAAGGAGAATTGTGCTACTATTCTTTTAGACCAAGGTGCAGACCCAAATCTGGTGGATTTAGATGGCAATACTGCTCTTCATTATGCTGTCTGTGGTCAAAGTATCTCATTAGTCAAACAACTGCTTGAACACAAAGCTAATCTTGAAGCACAAAATAAGGTAGTCTTCTATTTAAAACAACACATTATATTTTAGAAAGCTTATATTTTAGAAGGCAATGGAAGAAGGTATTCATTGCAGATAATTTATATCTATTGAAACACATGTTATATAAAGTATGAATTTTCCAAAATGAAATAGGAGACAAAGAGAACGAAATGATCAAATACTGATATGGTTTTTCTTTTTAAAAGCTTTTCTCCATTTTATTTCAAATTATAATCCTGACCGCCAAAGCAATATTACATATATCAGTGATGACTATTCAAAGGCCTATATCAAATGAGATCTATTTGATTTTCTTATAAATGAATGTTGTTAAGAATCATAAAGCCTGTATTTTTTTTATTTATATACTTATGAATAATGGTAAGAATAGAGTTGAATTAGAAAACCACTTATAATACTAAAAGTAATCCAAATACCCTAGTATGACATTATGGAAAACGTGAGTATTTTTTAAAGCTTCTTAGCACTTTAGTTCACTGATATTTTTTCTACATGACAGATAAAAATAAGTCCCAGCCTTGGAGGTTTAAATTAAACCCTATGAAAATTCAATTGTAACAATACTATGAAATATGAATGTATGATTTGCAATACTTATATTAAATGCTAAGTGCTTATTATTACTTAAATAATTTAGGCTCTTCTTACTGACAATTTGAATTAAGACTAAAGTTGAAACTTTAATTTTATTATTTTACTGTCCTAGTTCCAATTTATTTTCTTGGTCTTTGAAATCATATTTTGTTAAGTATCAAAACTTTTAAAAATTAAAATGTATATCAGAGGTTTCTTATAAGTAAACTTATATTTTAAACTAAACTTGGATCTAAAAAGCATTTAATGTTGGTACAATATTTTAAATAATCATTTTGAAATAATTTTTTTCAGGATGGGTGCACTCCACTTTTACTTGCCATTACTAAAAACAATGCAGAAATGGTAGAATTTCTTCTGAAGAGAGGGGCAGATGCGAATGCTTCAGATAAAAATCAAAGGTATAATTATTGCTAAATAAGAGCACATACCTACAGCAACCTAATGGGAAAAAAACACATATATATATATATGTGTATGTATATGTATAATGTATATATATACACCTGTTCATATATATATATACCTGTTCATATACATATATGTGTGTATATATATAATGTATGTTATTGTTGCTGTTGTTTATAAAAAATGATCTGGCCATATGATTTTGGACAAATTAGCTAGATTCTCCAGATCTGTTTACCTGTAAAATCAACATTTGAACAAATTGGTAAGTTATTATTATTATAATTTTTATCACGTTAGAATTGTAGGCTGAAACTCAATTTCTAAGTCCTGGATGTTGTAGTTAAATGAGGATAGGGGACCCAGAACCCCAGACATATCCCTCTATAGCACTTAGAGACATTTCCTTGAAAACCCTAGAGTTTCAGGAAGCATGTATTGAAAATCATCGAGCTAGCTGCTTCCTAGGGACCCTTTACATTTAGACTTCCAATATGATCTGAGATTGGCAGGTGTTTTTGAGCAGATGTTCCCCACTTACTACGCTGTTGCCCTGATTCTTTTTCTGATAGAAATTCTATACTTGAACAATGAATTTAAGATTAACTTTTTAAAAAAGTACAAGACATTTATTTTTAAGATCCATAAATAGACATTTATATCTCTTGTTCCAGAACAGCCCTTATGATTGCTCTAAGTGATGAACCAACAAGTTTAGTCAGTCTTCTTCTTCAGCGAAAAGTGGACCTATCTTGCCAAGATATTTATGGATTCACGGCTGAGGAATATGCTTCTTTTAATGGTTTTACTATGTAAGTGATACTGTGTATCTTTTAACAATTATATGGAATTCAATCATAAGAAAAGAAACATGAGCCCCAAAATGCAAAGTTGGAGTAGGCTCTGCAGTAAAGGTTTATGAGCTCTGGTCCTATGGATCTAAGTATCCTTGCTTTCACCTGTTTGTAGGATCCAATCAATATAATAACTATGGGTAGGCTGAATGTACAGATTAACTCCCAGTGGCACAGGAATTTAAAGAATGCTGGGACAGGGGATTCTAGCAACTAGTGACATAGCCATTATTAAAAATCTGGGCAACAGGGTTGGGCAAAACATAATTAATTCACAGAAGCTCCTTTAATTGAGTTACACATTAACAATGTAATAACTATATTCTCACGAACCCAAAAGATAATACTTTTTATGTATGATCATTTACTTCTTGTTAAAATTTTTTTCCCTTCATTAATTTTTAGAGAGAGAGAAAGGGAAAGGGAGAAAGAGAAACATAAATGAAAGAGAACATTGATTGACTGCCTCTAGCATGCTCCCCACTGGAGATTTGGCCCACAACCTGGGCATGTGCCCTGACCGGGAATTGAACTGGTGACCTCTCAGTGCATGAGTCAATACTCAACTACTAAACCACACCAGCTGGGCAATATTTTTTATTTTAATAGTAGATGAGAAAATATAATGCAATGTTCAAAAAAATTTTTTTCTGTTTTTGACCCTCTTTTATAATGGGGACTAAACTTTCTGTAATTATGACTTTGATTGCTTGAGTAGCTCTTACCTATCGACAATATTTAGCACATACATATCCTTTGCTTATTGGTACTATTTATTAGCTCTCTTTCATGGTACATAGGTTTTATGGCTTCTTAAGAATAGAAGCATAGAAAATGCTTCTCATATAGTTTTTGTTGTTGTTGTTGTTAATCCTCACCTGAGGATATTTTTTCCATTAATTTTTAGAGAGTGAAAGGGAAGGAGGGAGGAAGAAAGAAAGAGAGAGACAGAGAAACAGACAGACATTGGTTTGAGAGAGACACATGGATTGGTTGCCTCCCATAAATGCCTCAACTGTGGCCAGAGATTAAACCCACAACCCAGGTATGTGCTCTTGACTGAGAATCTAACCTGTGACCTGTTGGTGTGTGAGTTGATGCTCTAACCACTTAGCAACACCAGCAAGGGCTCTCATATAGTTTTTATTTTTAGTTTTAAAAAAAATAAGTGAAACTATGTCAAATGAGGGAATTATATTTAGATATTTATCTTACAGCTAGCTTTAATCTATATATTGCCTTATTCCTTTAAAAAAAATTTTTTTAAATTGATTTTTAAAGAGAGAGGACGGGAGAGGGAAAGAGAGATGGAAACATCGATGAGAGAGAACATCAGTCGGCCACCTCCTGCATGCCCCTGTGGGATTAGGCCCACAACCTGCGCATGTGCCCTGACTGGGAAATGAACTGGCGACCTCTTGGTGCAGGGTCAATGCTCAACCACTGAGCCACACTGGCTGGGCTTGCCTTATTTCTTTCACTGAAATTCGGAAACCATATACCTAATCATTACATAAAACTTAAAATTAGGTAACAATATTTGTAATAAATTTAAAATACCATGTATCTATTAAAATAATATTTTATATTTATTTTAAAAAATATAGTACTGGGATTCCAACATGGTGGTGGGCAGGACTAGAGTGAGGGTGAGAGTGTGAGCATGTGTGAAAGAGAGTGTTTATGTGTGCGAGTGTGGGTGGGCAGCTGCCTGTCCTTCAGGGAACCCAGAACAGGCCATTTGGGTGCTCCAGATGGAGGTAGCTGTGAGTAGAAGCAGCTATATAAAAATCAAGTGGAAATGAAGAATGACATGGCTGAAATAAAAAATACCCTGGAAAGATTAAATAGTAGATAAGAAAAACAGAAGACCAAATCAGTGAGTTAGAAGACAAGGTATAAAAACACCAATTTGAGCAGAAAAAGAAAAAGAAAAAAAAAAGGAGGAGAGTATAAGGAAGCTTTGGGAAGTATAAGGAAGTATTGAAATGTAACAACATTGGCATCATAGGGGTGCCAAATGGAGAAGAATCAGAGAAAAGAATAGCAAACCTGTTGAATAAATAATGCCTACAAACTTCTCTAGCCTGGTGAAGGAAAAAGTCACATAAATCCAGGAAACACAGAGAATCCAAGTCAAGATAAACCCAAAAAGACCCACCCCCAGACAAATAAATAATAATAAAAATGGCAAACACTAAAGGCAAAGAATGAATCCTAAAGGCAGCAAAAGAGAGATGGAAAGTTACCAACAGGGCAGCATCCATTAGAAACATACAGGCCAGATGAAAATGGCATGGTGTATACAAAATAATAACAAGTAAGGGACTGAATCCAAAACTACTCTATCCATCAAGGCAATCATTGAAAATTGAAGGGTAAATGAGGAGCTTCAAGACAAAAAAAGGGGGGCAGGGGGCTGAAGGAGTTTACTACCATAAAACAAACACTGCAAAAAATGCTAAAGGGACTGTAAGAAGGAGAAATATATAGGGAGTGAGAAACACAGGCATAAAAAATACAAATGGCAACAAATAAGTCCTATCAATAATAATCTTAAATATAAATGACTTAAATGTTCTAATCAAAAGATATGGGGTGGCTGAATAGATAAGAAAAAACAACCCATATATATGCTGTCTACAAGAGATCTACCTCAAAACAAAAGACTCACACAGGATGGAAATAAAGGGATGGGAAAAAATAATTTCAGCCCTGGCCGGTTTGACTCAGCGGTTAGAGCGTCGGCCTGCGGTACAGAGAGACCCGGGTTCAGTTGCCGCTAAGGGCACGTACCTCGGTTGCAGTTTGTCCCCGGCCCTGGTTGGTCGTACGGGTGGCAACCACTCGATGTGTCCCTTCACATCGATGTTTCTCTCTCTCTCTCTTCCTCTCTCTCCCTCCCGCTCTGTCTGAACAAAAAATGCAAAAAATGTCCTCGGGTGAGGATAAAAAATAATAATAATAATAATAATTTAATCTGAATAGAAATAAAAAAATCAGGGGTAGCAATACTCATATCTGATAAAAAAAAATACTTCAAAATGAAAGCCAGATCAAGACAAATAAGGCCACTACATAGTATTAAAAGAATCAATCCAATGAGAAGATATAACTCTGGTAAACATATATGCATCCAATATAGGAGCACTAAAATATATTTAAAAATTTCTGGAGTACTTCAAAGGTGAGAATGATTGCAATACAATCATAGCAGGGAATTATAACATCCTGCTGACATCACTAGATAGATCTTCTAGACAAAAACATTAGCAAGGAAATGGAGACCCTAAAGGACATACAAGATCAGATGGATTTAATTGATATTTGCAGATCATTTCACCCCAGAGCTGCAGAATATACATTGTTCTCAAGTACACATGGAACATTTTCAAAGATAGACCACATGTTAGTATACAAACTAAGTCTCTACAAGTTCAAAAAAAATGAAATCATATCAAGAATCCTCTTAGATCACAATGGCATTAAACTAGAAATCAATTACAATAAAAATACTTAAAATATTAAAACACATGGAGGCTAAATAGCATGTTATTAAACAATAAATGGGTTATCAATGAGATCAAGAAAGAAATGTAAAACTTTCTGGAAACTAAAAAAAAAAATAAACACAAAATCTATGCGACACAGCAAAGAAGTCCTAAGAGGGAAGTTTATAGCAATACAGGCCTACCTCAAGAAAGAAGAAACATTTCTAAAAACTATCTAACGCTACAACTTAAAGAATTAGAAAGAACAAAAAGAAAATCCCTCAGTAATTTGAAAGAAGGAAATAACAAAGATCAGAGTGGGACAAAATGACATTGAGACTAAAAAAACAATACAAAAGATGAGTGAAACCAAGTGCTTGTCCTTTGCAAAAGTAAGCAAGATTGGTCAACCTTTAGCCAGACTCACAGAGAAATAAAACAGAGAGAGAGGACCCAAATAATAATAATAATTAAAAAATCAGAAACAAAAGAGGTGAAGTAAAAACTGAAACCACAGAAATACAAAGGATTGTAAGAACATACTATGAACAATTATATACCAACAAATTGGACAACCTAGGTGAAATGGACAAATTTCTAGAATCATAGAATCTTGCATAACTCAACCAGGAAGAGTTAAAACATCTGCACACACCAATAACATCTCAGAAAATTGAAACAGTCATCAATAAACTCACAGCAAACAAAAACTCTTATTTGGTCAGATTCACAGGGGAGTTTTATCAAACATTCAAAGAATAACTAACACCTATTCCTTTCAAATTACTCCTAAAAATTCAAGAGGAAGGAAGACTGCCAAGCTCTTTTTATGATACTAGAATAATTCTAATTCCAAAACCAGATAAATACACTACAAAAAAAGAAAACTACAGGCCAATATCCCTGATGAACATAGATACCAAAATAGTCAACAAAATATTAGCAATTAGATCCAGCAATATATTAAAAAAATTATTCACCACGACCAAGTGGGATTTATTCCAGGGATGTAAAGGTGGTACAATATTCACAAATCAATAAATGTGACACCACATAAACTAAATGAAAGATAAAAAATCATATGGTCATATCAGTAAATGCTGAAACAGCATTTGACACAACCCAACACCCATTTTTGATAAAAACTGTCAGCAAAGTGAGAATAGAAGGACCATACCTCAATAGAGGCCATGTATGACAAACCTATAGCTAACATCATACTCAACAGGCAGAAACTAAAAGCATTTCCCTTAAGAACAGGAACAGGACAGGGATATCGGCTCTCACCACTCTCATTCACAAAGTACTGGAAGGCACTTTTTCTACCTTGCTAGTGACTTAGTTGTGACAGCAGAAAGAAGTGCCAGAGAATGAGAGTACATGAAGTAAAGACGGTGTCTGTTAATGGAGTTCACTTGAGAGGACACTTGAGGTCAGAGGCCAGTGTGTGACATACTTGGGAAGGCATTAGCTAAAGTCTAAGGTTTTGATTTGATAATTATGTATTGAATTGACTATTTATGAATGCTGATATTCATATATATTTTCTCTTTATGGATAGATATCATCATTTAATTGCTTATTATGAAAAGGAGAAGAAAGTTAAAACAATGTCTTTCTGAAGGTACAACCTTGGATGCTACATTTGATACAGAAGAACTGAAGGAAGGTTAGAGGATAAAAATGGAAGAAGTAATTTTCTTGTTGGTTATTTGTTTATCTTTTAGGAAGAAACACAGATTTCTCAAGAAATATTTTGTTTGAAATTGAAATTTTCTTCTATTTCGAGATGCTAAATATTTTTAAGAACTGTTCCTAAGAATATGTGTGACTAAAATATTCTGGCATTGTGTTGACTGAACATGTAATGTAAGATACACTGAATGATTAAGATAATTTTTTCCATAGTCTCTTGACTACCTATAGAAAACAAAATAAGTTTTTCATTACATATAGATTTTAGTAGATATTAATAAACTTTTATTCTAAAAACACTTCAGATAAGTACTTTGATGATAGATAATATAACATATACCTGATAATTACATAAAATTAAGCAGCAATATTTGTGATGAATTGAAAATACCATGCATATATTAAAATAAGTGTTGGTGTTCATTTAAAAGAATAAATATAGTTATTTAGGTCTTTAAACATGAGCTTTTTCTTGGTGAATATGTCTTACATTGGTAGTTTTTTATTGTTGAATAAAATAAAAATCTGTATAGTTATTCTTTGTATTCACCAGCAATCAAACTCCTACCTTATCCTTTACCTATGGTATAAAAAAAGAAAAACAGGTGGAGAGTGAACAGAAAGGGAGCCTGATGGTAACTGGATATCATATAAGTGTCAGAACTACTCAAACACTCCATGCCCTCAAGTCTATAGTGATGATATTTAGAACAGTATTTGGCCATATTGATTTGAGGTGAGTAAATTTAAGAGAGAATTTCCTTGAATTCCTCTTTTATATCTTAATGTTACATACCGTTTCAACAAAGTTTGTTTTTCTTGACTCTTGATCTAAATCCTTATACACTTGTCTCCCACCTTCTCACTCTCTCTCTCTTTTTTTAAATGTAAGAAGTAAAAAAGTTCCGTGGTTTACGCTTTAAAACTACCCCCAGGGTAATAAATGTTTCCAGTTTCTAGTGAAATATTAATCTTTGCATGTTTAGAGTATAGTACAAATATTTACACAAAGAAAATTACCAAGAGACACTGCAAAAAATGGCAAAGTTAAAAAGTTGTATTTCTGTGAGATTCAAAGGGGATAATTAATTATTCACTTTTTAAAAATGACTATAAAATGCAGAAGGATCAATGCTAAATTATAATTGTGTTATAGTTGAGGCATAGAATTTAAGAAAAAGATAATTACATGATCTCATTTATTTATTAAATATATTGACCAAAATAAGCTCACAATCAAAATAAATCCAGAGACATAGTAGAGAACAGATTAACAAACCTCAGAGGCAAGTGGGGTGGGAGAGTGGGAAGAGATAAACCAAAGAACTTACATGCATATATGCATAACCAGTGGGCACAGAGAATAGTGTGGAGAAGGTGGGAGGGGGGTGAAAGTGAGAAGGAAGGGGTTAATGAGGGAAAAATGGGGGAACATCTATAATACTTTCAACAATAAAGATTTAAAAAAAGAATGTACTTAGTAGTAAAATATTTGAAGATAAATGAAGACAAATATTACTTGTGTTCTAGATGTGTAACCTCATTTCTGTAAATCCTTTGCTGCTGCCTTGAATTAGAATAATCTATATTGAAAAAGCAGTTAGGTGAATTATCCTATTATTTTCATTGACTACTTATTTGAAGAAAAATTTGTTAAATTGAGAGCAGTTTTCACCATATAAAATGTAAAGAAATGTCAAAAAAACAAACATCTATCTCATGAACTATATCAGTTGAAAAGGTACAATTTTATTTAATAGATAGGCAGAGAAAAACTTTTTAGTCAAAATATTAAATGGCATATCAGTAAAAGTCAACTTTGCAATATTTGTGTTAGGCATACACTAGAACATTTGAATAAAGTAAAAATATTAACATTTCATCTACAAATAGAGGAGAATAACTAATCCTGTGTAATTGGAAATTCTCTTTTATAAGTAGTACTTTAATTGATAAAGCCTTTTTGACTTTTTAAAAAACATTACATTAATACACATTCAGAAAATTTGGATAGAAAAGAAAACATGCATCACTATAGTCTCATCAATCACAAAAAACATTTGTTCAATTTTGGGCATGTTTTTGTAGTCTTTTAAATTATTTACAACTTTTTTTTTCTCAAAGGAAATTTATAATTTTACATTTTTCTTTTTTTATTAATTTTTTGATGTTTCTTTTTTCTTATTTTAATTATTTTATAGAGGATATAACTTTATTTATTTTTAATTATTGATTTTTTTCGTTATTACAGATATTTCTCCTTTTTTCCCCCATTGACTACCTCTTCCCTATCCCCTCCCAACCCATCCACAGTTTTGTTGTCTATATATCCATCGTTTATGCATACATGCATATAAGTTCTGTGGTTTATCCCTTCCCGTCCCCTCCTTCTGAGGAATGTCAGTCTGTACCTTACTTCTATGTTTCTGGGTCTATTTCGTTCATCAGTTTGTTTAGCTCATTATATTCCAGAAATAAGTGAGATCATGTGATATTTGTCTTTCTCTACTTAGTTTATTTTGTTTAGGATAATGCTTTCCAGGTCCCTACATGTCGTCTTAAAGATAAAGAGATCTTTCTTTCTTACCGCTTCATGGTATTCCATTGTGTATATGTATCACTGCTTTTTTTATCCACTCATCTACTGATGGGCACTTGGGCTGTGTCCAGATCTTACCTATTATAAATAGTGCAGCTATGAACATGAGGGTACATATATTCTTTCTGATTGGTGTTTTAGGCTTCTCAGGGTATGTTCCTAGAAGTGGGATCACTGGGTCAAATGGAAGTTCAATTTTTAATGTTTTGAGGTAACCATATTGTTTTGCATAGTGGCTGCACCTGTCTGCATTTGAACCAGCAATGTACTAGAATCCCCTTTTCTCCACACCCTCACTAACACTTGTTGTTTGATGATTTGTTGATGGCAGCCATTCTGACAGGTGTGAGGTGATACCTCATTGTTGTTTTAATTTGCATCTCTCTGAAGATTAGTGAAGTGGAGCATTTTTTCATGTCTCCTGGCCATTTGTATGTCCTGTTTGGAGAGGTGTCTATTTCGTTCCTCTGCCCATTTTCTAATTGGGCTCTTTGTCTTCCTTTTGTTGAGTTGTGTGAGTATACTATATATTTTGGAAATTAACCCCTTAGTTGATGTATCATTGGAAATTATGCTCTCCCATAGAGTGGGTTGCCTTTCCATTTTGATGGTTGTTTCTTTTGCTTTTTAGAAGCTTTTGAGTTTGATGTAGTCCCATGTGTTCATTTTCTCCTTTGTATTGCCTTAGGTGATGTATCAGTAAAAATTCTGCAACGTATGATGTCTGAAATTTTGTTGTCTGAATTTTCTTCTAGAATTTTTATGAATTCACAAGTCACATTTAAGTCTTTTATAAATTTTGAGTTTATTCTTGTGTATGGTGTAAGTTGGTGATCTAGCTTAATTTTTTTGCATGTAGCTGTCCAATTTTCCCAATACCATTTATTAAAGAGGCTGTCTTGACTCCACTGTATTCTCTTGCCACCTTTGTCAAATATTAACCGGGCATATTGTCTTGGGCTAATTTCTGGGTTCTCTATTCTGTTCCATTGATCTATCTGCCTGTTCTTGTGCCAGTACCAGGCTGTTTTGATTACAGTGGCTTTGTAGTATAACCTGATTTCTGGTAATGTGATCCCTTCTACTTTGTTCTTGTTTTTCAAGATTGCTGTGGCTATTCAGGGCTTTTTTTGGTTCCATATAAAGTTTTGGACTATTTGTTCTAGTTCTGTGAAATATATCATTGGTATTTTGATGGAGATTGCATTGAATTTATAGATTGCTTTGGGTAATATGGACATTTTAATGATGTTAATTCTTCCAATCTATGAACAAGGTATATGCTTCCACTTTTTTATAACTTCCTCTATTTTTTTTTTTTTTCAATGACCTGTAGTTTTCTGTGAATAGGTCCTTTACTTCTTTGGTTAAGTTATTCCTAGGTATCTTAATTTTTTGCCGCAATGGTAAATGGGATTTTATTTTTTAGTTTCTCTTTCTGTCGGTTCATCATTGGTGTATAAGAATGCCCCTGATTTTGTGATGTTAATTTTGTGCCCTGCTACTTTGCCATATTCATTTATTAAGTCTAGTAGATTTTTGATGGAGTCTTTAGGGTTTTCTATGTACAATATCATGTCATCTGCAAATAATGACAGTTTCACTTTCTCCTTTCCAATTTAGATCCCTTTTACTTTTTCTTCTTTCTAATTGCTGTGGCTAAGACTTCCAATACTTTGTTAAATAAAAGTGACGAAAGTAGACATCCCTGTCTTGTACCTGTTCTTAAGGGAAATGTTTTTAGTTTTTGCCCAGTGAGTATATTGGCTGTAGGTTTTTCATATATGGCCTTTATTATGTTGAGATATGATCTCTCTATTCCCACATTGCTGAACATTTTTATCAGAAATGGGTGCTGGATTTTTTCAAATGCTTTTTTAGCATCTATTGATATGATCATGTAGTTTTTATTCTTCATTTTGTTTGTGTGGTGTATCACATTTATTGATTTGCAAATATTGTACCATCCTTGCATCCCTGGGATGAATCCCCTTGGTCATGGTGAATAATTTTTTTGATGTATTGCTGGTTCTCATTTGCTAATATTTTTTTAAGGATCTTGGCATTTGTATTCATCAGGGATATTGGCCTGTACTTTTCTTTCTTTGTAGTGTCTTTTTCTGGTTTTAGATTATGCTGGCTTCATCAAATGAGATTGGAAGTCTCCCATCTTCTTGGATTTTCTGGAAAGTTTGAGAAGAATGGGTATTAGATCTTCTTTGAATCTTCAGTAAAACTCCCAGGTGAAGCCATCCAGCCCTGGGCTTTTGTTTTTTGGGAGTTTCTTAATTACACTTTCCATTTCTTTTGTTGTTATTGGTCTTTTCAAGTTTTCTATCTCTTCCTGGTTCAGTTTTGGGAGACTGTGTGTTTCTAGAAA